CTTTCATTCTCTTCTTGATTCTTTCCTTCTTTCGTGTTTTCTTCTTCATTATTGAAATAAAATTGAACTCACGTTCAACAAAAAACACAAAACTTACAATTTTCAACGTCACACATTTGTTTCATCTCCTTGGCAATATCATCAATGTCCGAATCTTCGAGAGTATTTATGTAATTGTCTTCCTCATTTTTTTGTTCGAGAATAGCTTCTTCGTCGCATGACATTTTTAGTTATCAATTCGAAAATGATACCTCTTTTTCTTTCACCAAGTCTTCTATTTTTTTCTTCAAGGTTTTTATCTTTACAAGTTCAATCTATTCATAGCACGTGTCTCATTATTTGTGACAGCAAGTTATTTTCATTTCTTATGATTACAAATAATGATACTAAGTTTCATATACAGCTGATTGTGATGATAGAACGGAAGAGAGAGAGCTGTTCATTGAATTTTCGTGCGTGTGCAGAACGCAAGAAAATGTCAGGATTGAAAGGGTTAAGCACTTGACGGGTGTAGGTGATGACGTTGTCTGTATTCCACATCCAACTCTCCAGATGCAGTTTTTTGTGCTCATTAGCTTCTCAAGATCAGATAACCAACTAATGCAATATTTCATAAAATGACAACCTTTCTGACGCACTGGATAAAACTTAACAATTTTGGAAGTGAGGTAAATTGTTTGCTAACTCACTCTAGGATATTTGACAGTTTTATTCAATGAACTCTTGAATTTTGTGAACAATACTTACCGTCATGACTCGGTATATATGAGTAGTCTGTTCCTGGCCATGGTTCATATGAATTACAATTTGTGTCCAGATGTCCGTCAGAAGCAGATGGACACAAATAAGCAGTTTGAATACTTGGATTGTCGTATGAGTAGACATCAGAGCTTTACATGCCATCATGGCCAGTTTCTGTTGAAGATAATGTACAGCTAATACTCGCACTATTATAGTCTTCACTCATCATCATTTTAAATAGATTCAGTAAAAGATGAAAATGCTGTGGGTGCGGGTGTGAATGAATAAAACTCTCACACCTTCAGTACTAACTAGGAGACATTTCATGTAAGCAACAACTGATCTTGCTCAATCGATTTTATTAACTTTGGTGTTATTTTTATAGTAAATATACTTTACAAACTTAGCAAACATCTGAAAATTTCAACTCAAACAAAGAGTCTATCCTTGAAATATGCGAATCAAAAGCATGGCTACTTTCAAACAATTTGGGTGGGTGTGGATGTGAATTTAAGAATAGAATAGATGAAAATCTGCTCGCACATCCCCAAGAAAACGAGTACATATATGAATCTAAAGAAAAAAAAGTCTATAGAGATATAGTATAATTATATTTTATATGAATTAGTAGAATGATACATAGAGCGAAAATTGAACGCAAAAAATCTCCATATATCTAATGTACGAAGTTCGACTCGAGGCTTTTCCTAATATCTAAAGGCTTGAACAAGCGAAAGTTTCAATTATAGAAAATCGTTTTTATCGAATTCATTTATTCATCATCATCATCATCATCATCTGATGAGTCCAAATCAGAATCACTTAATTCAACGGTTTCATTCATATTTCCATCGCCATCAATAGTTGTACAATATGTTATAGCGTAATTCAAACGATCATACATAATGTCAATGGTTGAATATTCAGGTAAATCAAGAACAAACGTACATGTATGAGCTCCTAGATATAGAGAAAAAAAAATATGAATAATATATAAAATTCGATCAAACATACGAGGTAGAGTTTTATCAATCAATTCACGAGGTTGATTATATGGTTCAATGTGAAATTTAGTTTCAAAATCATCATCACAACTAGGGAGTGTACATCGTCCCCAAACAAACTTTAAAAATAATTTTCTTTGTTCTTCATTAAACATGCTTCTGAGTATTGTCCAAAAATGTTGAATAACAGGTAAATTTTGATTATAACGTCCAGAATAAACGGTATTTCTTCTCAAGAAATCCACGTCCATTTCTCCTTTACCACACACAAGTTCTTCAATTTCATTTGCTGTAAATAAACTTAAGAAATAACCCGGTACAGTACTATATAAACCTTGTCGAATGTATTCAATCTGTCGATGAAATTCATTCAAACGATATTCACGATAACTTGCACAATAATCTTTGTAGTTTGCTATTGTTATTGGGATATTTTTGCCATTTGGAACAAGTTCATACGTTTGTCCATTTGAACTAACAACTTCATATCGTAATTCATCTAACATATTATTAAGTGATTCATTATTATCAATTGATGAATTATTCTGATTAATTGATTTTTCCATTTCATTAATAATTTTAAAACTTTGTATATCGATATTTTCAATATCCTCCATTGTTATCTGTTCTCGAACTAATTGTTTCCATAATAAACTTGGCAATTTTAAATTTAAATAATGTTTTTGTCGTATAGCCATACCCATTAATTGTCCAATAAATTGATATTGTTGTTTAATACGAATAGGTATAGATGCATTCGGCGGATAAGTATTTGGTATCCAACGATCATTATTTAAACCAATATTTGTTCGTCCATTTGGACATAAAATAAATAATGATAAACGTGTACTACATACATCGGAACAAATACATGTCACAGAATCTCGAAAAGGTCCACCTTGATCTGTACTATGCATACCAAGATATTGTGCACGCCATACTTGTTCATGTTCTTGTCGAAATGTAGTATGTGCATTTTGATACAATTGTTTGAATGCTTGCAAAAACATTGTCTCGTCAGTTGAACTAATTTTAATGGTGTCAAAATTAACTGTTGGAATAGAACTTGTTGTTGTTAACAATGTCATCTGTAGTGTTGAATTGAATAATTTCGATTTTGTATTGTATAATATATAGGATTTTACTTTTTGAATTTTATCCATAATTATACTTTGTCTAGGGAATAGACTTAAATCAATAAGAGGTAATATTCGATCAAAGAGAAGATTAAATGCGTAGATAGTTCTACTGCGAATATGTATAGAAATAGCTGGTATATGCCAAAGAGATGGATATGTTTTATAATAGGATGAATTTGGTGTAGATTCTGTTGGTAAACTGACTATAAATTCAGTAAAGGATGCGTTTAATAGTTCATTATTATTCATGAAATGAATCAATTGTGAATCTGATAATGTATCGAAATAGTTATTTGATTGTTCAACATCCTCTTTTCTTAATTGAAAAACATCACCTAATAGATTAATTGATTCCATAAGAAAACTATCAGGAAATAATGTTCGTTGAGTTTTATCAAGTAATGCATTAATAACATCGATAATCATGAGAAGATCATAGAAATTTTTTGGTAATTTATATAATTTATTGATTTCATTGATTGAGTTTTTTTCTATTAAGAGAAAGATACAATCCATAAGAGATATATGAAATGTTCGCATAATTTGACTATTTAATAATGTTGAATTTGGTGGTAATTCAAGAAATAAATGAAATAGAAATGATTGAATAGATAGATTTAATTGAAAATGTTGACTCATTTGAATAAGACTAAAAATTAGAACGAAAACTAAATTTTAATAAGTGTAATTTTTCTTTGACTTACGTCGAAAATATACGAAGAATATGAATTTTATTTTCATGTTTTGGATGAATCAGAAATAAATTGAATAAACTATGAATTAGACATTCAGGAAATAAGAATGAGATCAACAAATCAGTATGTTTATGCTTATGTATGGATTTTTCTGATATTAATTTAATCAATAAATGAATTGATTTTAGAATAAATTCAAAATTTGGTTTATTAACATTATGTTCATTATTTAATTCGGATGATGATAATAATGATGGATTATTTAAGAAATTTATGGATTGAATTACAATATCTTTTTGTAAATGATAAAGTAGTGGAGCTTTGATTTGTAGAATATCACGTTTCATATCCATATGACTACGTGTTGTTGATGAAAGTAATGCATTTAATTCAATTTTAAGAATTGAACTTATTAATAAACTCATACGATCAACTGTTTCATCTGTATGTAAGCGTTTATATCGATAATGATAATCTAATAGACGTAATAATTTTATAATAAATGTACAATCACCTAATTTTTCTAATGGAAATAAACATGAACCATCATAAGAGAAAATTTTTAACATATTTAATATAAGATAATGTGCATAAATCGATATTAAACTATATTCACATGCAATACGATATTCAATATATTTTTCTTCTGTGATATTCTGATGTAAATAATCAATATTAGAATCAGATTTAAGTTCTTCTTGACTAGATTCTTGATCTAAATCAAGAATTTGATAAGTTAGATCATTTTGTTGTTCAATTTTTGTTGTTGATTCATCTTGAAGCCATTCAGTCAGATTACTATTCATATTTAAATATTGAACAGCTTCTTGAAACCAATTTTGACTCGATAAAGTTATTGGTTCTGTTACAATATTATTCCAATGTAGCAATAGTATTTCAACAAGTTCTGTTAAACATTCTTCAGAATTATATTGCGAAAATTCGCTGAAATCTTTTAATTTTTCATGATTTATTATAAATCCAAGTTTTGATAAAATAGTTGTACCACATTTTTTCTCGTGTAATATCCTAGCAACATTTTCTATGCTATTCATTTTCTTTAGTTTCATAGCAAGTTTAATAGCTGCTTCGCTATATCCAATACGTATTAAACTTGGTGAAATAATTGAGTAAGGTAATTCAATAAGATTTTCTAACGAAGGATTTGATGAAGTAAATTTTTCATCAATTTCATTTAGAGTTTTATTTAGATATGTTATTGATTTACATTCAATTCGAATTGTATCTTTAGAATCGGATTCTTTAAATATTTCAATTTCTTTATCTGTGATAGTTAAAAATTGAGTTTCTAGGCTATTATCAAGTATTAATAAACCATTTGCATAGATTCGAATAGATTTATGATGAACACAAATCACTAATCGAATAGATTCATTTAATTTTAATTTCGATTCACTTTGAATTGAATTTTCATTATTTATTATTAAACTAATTTGACCATCCGATGTTATTGAAATTTTTGTTTGTGCATTTAATCCTATTATTGTTATCGGTAGAGAATGAATAATAACATCGAATATAAATGTATATTCTGACCATGAATCATTTGATTTTGATAATATAAGATGAGATTTATTTCCAAATAATTGAAGATATTCATTATCATTTACTACATTAATAAAATCATTTTCAAAATTATTTCCATTAAATGTAAAACTATTTATAGATTTTCGATAGTTTCTTATTTGATGATAATCATTTACAATATATGATAAACCAGAAGTAAATAAACGTTGAATATGTTCATTAGACAATGCATATTTCCAAATAGCAACATTTTGAATTCGAACTGAAATCCTTGGTAAAATATAAACGGTGAATTTTTCAACAATGGAACACTTGACCATTCGAAGTTCATTATTAATATAGACTTTTAATTTTTGTTGATTGATTTCAAATATTATTGCAATTTGTGTTGGATTAACTATTTTATTAATTGGTATTCGTATTGAGTCTGTATTGAATGTTAATAATAGAATATCATGACAATTATTAGGCATTTTTGGTAATGAAAAATCAAAACTAATCGTTGTAGATTCATTATTATTGATAATTAATGAAAAACCTTGGCTTTGCTCTGGTAGAAACAAATAATAGTCATTATCAAATTCAAATTTATTTTCTAAATGATTATTATTAATAAAATCACGTAAAAACTTTGTTGTTGAATTTTTATTTTCAAAATTATCTTCACTACTATGACTAATTAAATAGGCATTAAATGGATAAGGAACAAGTAGATCATCGAAATCAACAAGATTAGGAATCATCAATGGTTTATAACCAATCGGTAATGGACACTCAAACATATCCATTGGATGAAATATAAATTCACAACTACTTAAAACTGAAGTTTCATTTACATTTAAAGTTACAGCAGGAAAATAACCTGTACGAACATCATTGGGTAACATATTACAAACACTTGTCGATGAAGGAAATGGTAAATTATGTGCAAATGCTGTTCCAAGAAAACATCCATTTAACCAATAATTAATTTTTATAGAATCATCATGAATTTCAATTCCACAACCACAAACATCATTTGCACTCCAACGAAACTGGTCAAATGCAAATGGATATAGTTCACCATTATAAATAAGTCCTTCTGAACCATTGTACGACCAAGAATATTGATCATGACCTAGATGAACGTCATTATTCGTTGTAAAACCTTGCGTTGCCCATCCAATATTTGCCGATGTCGATTCTAATAATCGAACACAAAAATACCAATTACCTTCAGTTAATTGTAAATCTTCAATGACAAATGTGGCTGATAAAGAATTTGCATTGTTTGACACTAAATGTATTCGACCTGGAAATTGATGTATGACACCACATTCTTCTTGAAACCAGCTTCCTCTTAATTGTGATGTAAATTCTCTCATTTTAATTTCATCTTTACCATGTCGACCTTTTTTAAAAAGATTTAAATTACGTTTTGACATTGTAAATAAATCTAATTTAAATGGAATCTTTGTCCAAATGACATAATCATCAGTTGAAGGTTGTGTAAATGTCTTACAACGATCTAAACTTAAACAATATTCTTCTAATTGATATTTATTTAATGTATGTAAATCAATTGATTGTTGTTGAGTTTTAAATTCTAAAGCTGATACTGATAATTGAGCAATTACAGAAACATAAGGTTTCTGTAGGAAAATATCAACAAGTTTTTTATGATTTAATAATCGATAGAGAACACATATTGATTGACGTTTCAATTGTAATAATAATAATCTGTTCACGTTTGAATCATCTGTTTGTATAAAATCAACAAGTGAATCAAAAAGTAAACCAATGAATTCATTTTCAGTTGGTAAATCAAGAAGATTCGGCGGTGGAACATCAATTTCAAGTTTTAATTGATCAATTCCAAATGACTTTATTTCATTAGTTTCAATTAATTGAATACGAAATGGTTTTGTATTTAAATCTTCGCTATCAGAGTTTATTTCAACAATAATACCACGTTGAGTTTCATTCGTATCATGAATTTCAACAACAGCACCAAAACAAAACGAATGAATGTAACT